TTTTAAGGCTAATTAAGGCCTTATTTTTTGATTGATGAATTCAATGACTTTTAAGACTTTTTAAAGATCTGCAGGAACCCTGCTGTATTACATTTGTATAACTTTGGTTAAAAGCTGCTTCTAAAAGGTGTTACAGTTACTCAACTGGTTCAAAGAACAAGATAAGACAGTTTTCTAGGGAAATCACGTCTGTGTAACTAATCATTTACTGCTTTCTAGGAACATCCTATGTACACCAGTGACAGTAAGGTTGTAATGTCATTTCCTCTTGTGGGTTTAAATCAATGAGAGCAAAGGTCAAGAGCTGGGAGAATAAAATGCTATTATTGATCAAACACATGGTGTTTCTACAGTGATCCGGACAGGAACACCCTGCTCTGACTGTTCAACAATGACACGTTACAGTCACTGAGTGTCCCAGAGGTTACTGAGGTTACACACATACATCCAGTTCCTCACATACAGCCTTCAGCTTTGCTCGTTATTACTGTGTTACTGAGTACAAACAGGGGCAACCCTATGATGGTGACTTTTACCCCACAGACACACACGAGCACCGGGACAGAGGCGAGCTGGACACGTCTCCTACCGTTTAGGCCCCATTTCTCCCGCTGTCGCTTCACCTCCTCCGGGGACAGTCCCGTGCTTTCGTTGACGCAGAAAAAAGTGTAAACTTCTTCCACACTCTTGGTGTGAGCGTTCTCCATGACGGCTCCTTGCCCCTCCGCTCTGCTGCACACAGACACACGGCTCCTCCAGGAGACACTGGACCAGGAGCGGCCAGGAGGACTTCACCTGCTGGAGCTGCAACACCTTCACTCGGTTAGATAAGGACCGCAGGAGGCGGGCAACACGAACCCCCCCGTGTTGAGATTCTCCTCACGCGTGGGGGGAACAACAACAACACTGACTGGTTTAGTGAGATAAAGTCCTTTTTTCCCTGTCCGAGTGGAGGTCAGTGACAGCGCCCGCTCGCCTCTGGCTGCTGTGGGGAAGTGTCTGCGGCAGAGTCCGGTGTCGGGGACAGCATTCGGTCCAGCCCGGTGAGTCCTCTCCGTGGCGCAGCAGCTCTSTGTGACTCGGTTCGGTCTCCGCGGTGTGGTTTTTATGAAACCGCCTCCCTACCGCCCCCCATCCCCGCATGTGGACTCACACCATTGGATGAGAGCTGGCAGCTGCCTTCAGACCGGAGACATGAAGACAGGAAGTGGCTTCATCAAACTCCGCTCCATGCGGCATCAGGAGCAGGGGCTGTCCAGTCCTGCGCCTTTTCCAGGTCCCTGCTCCAACACACCTGGTTCAGACATTTATTTACCTCTTCAGGTTCTGTAGGAGCCTGCTAATCACTCAGGTGTTGGAGCAGAGAAACCCCTGACTCTTCATCAGCTTTTACATGGTAGTAAACATCTTACCTGTTGGAAAAGCTAAGATTTGAATTCTGACTGGACTGAGCTAATGGCTGGTCTGAKCAGAGCCAGATTGCACTTCCGGTTTTAAAATAATTTCATTTCAAGGTAGAGCTGTCCTTGAAGGAATGTAGATGGACCGCTGCCTTTTGTGCAAAAGTTTAAAACTAAAAGCCCCGTCACACTATAACATTTTAGAGAAAAAATATTAGCCTGACTTTGAAAATGGCCACAATAAAGATGGAATTAAAAAAAATCAACTGGAAGCCGTATTGCTGGGTTGCAGTAACAAGGCCCGGATGAAGCACAGACATCAGATGGGGGGCAGGAAGTGATTTGCTCTGGTTCAAAACAGTGAAATGGGTTACAGCATAAGCTAATGCCCTAAATGGGTTGGTGCAGATG